CTATATTTTTTACTGCGTTTTTGGTTTAATCGGGTTATTTTAAGGGAGTTTTCATCAGCTTTCCCTATACCCAAATTTAGCCGTTTTTGAAATACTTGGAGTTTTTCAAAAAATTTTGGATCTGCACCTTCCACTTTAAAAGTCGGTAACTCTGCTATTTTTTAAAATTTTGAATTCGTTTTTTTGAAAGAGAAAGTTTAGATCTTTCTTCCGATATTTTCAAATTTTGAAAAAAAAAATTAACGAACCATAAAATTTTAAGGTTGTAATAATTCAAATACTCATAACTCAAATTTTCCAAATGAAATACCCCAATTTTTATTTTACTAAATGAAAGAGAATTATTTTTTTTTAACTATGTGAAAACGGGTGTGGCTAGTAACAAATTTTCTGTAGTCTTAAAAAAAAGTCCATAACTTGAAAATTATTAAATTTAGGTATAGGGAATGTTAATACAGATCATTGCACAATTAAATTCTCTTCTATTTAGTAAAATAAAAATTGGGGTATTTTATTTGAACAAATTGAGTTATGAGTATTTGAATTATTACAAAAGTAACCTTAAAATTTTGGGATATGTTATTTTTTTTTCAAAATTTGAAAACACCAGAAAAGGATCTAAGCTTTCTCTTTCAAACACCAAAAAAACGAATTTAAAATCTTAAAAAATGGCAGAGTTACCGATTTTTAAAGTGGAAGGTGCAGTTTCAAATTTTTTTGAAAAACTCCAAATATTTCAAAAACGGCTAAATTTAGGTATAGGGAAAGCTGATAAAAACTCTCTTAAAATAACCCGATTAATCCTAAAACGCAGTAAAAAATATACCTTTCCATTTAAAATAAGAATGTTGAGACCGACTTCCGGTATAACCGGAAGTGCCGCCATTTTGAAAATATTTTCATTTAGGAGGACTTAATGGTTTATGGCTATGTACCAATTTTCAAATAAATACGATTATTCCAACTCCCAATACTTCTAATGTGGGGTTTAGACGGAACATCCTGTAGAGGATTTTTTTACTTATTTATACCCACCTACGTTGTTAATGCTTCTTTGCTATCTACACTAGAGATAAGCATCTCCAGAGGCTAGATAAATGGCTCGCATTAACTTTAAATTAATTTAGAATTTGTAGAATTTTCGAAAATAATTTTTATTGTTTGCACGACGTGATTACATCAGGTATGGGCAAGAGTTAATGACGATGATCCCACCCGTGCAAAAATAAAGTAATATTAAAAAAAGGAACGAAATTTAGCCAAGGATTTGAGCGTGGAATATTTATGGAAGATGTCAAAGTCTTATAAGGAATATAAAAAATCCAAGCACGCGGGGCGGTCCGTTTCAAGTGCTTTAAAGCCAGTTTTCATCGTATATGCTTATCTGTGGGTGTTTAAAAATGCAGTTTGGAAAAAGGAATATCCATATATCATGCCTGAAAATCTTTGCCAATGGCCAATAACCTCGGAGTGCAACGCGAGCGCTATTCTCACACACATACCTTTTTCGTTTCACTTTTTCTTATTTTCATCTTGCAAAAATTAATTCAAGATATGGATTTTGGTTTTTA